CCTCAGGGACAGTCCCCGCTGGGTTCACAGCCCGGAGTTGTGGGGACGTCTCTTCCCGGCCTGGAGCCCTGGGCTGGGGGCCTGCTGTGGGGCTGGGACCCCTCTCTTCTCTGGGACACCTCTATCGCCTACGTCCTCCCCCCAGCCCCCCCCTCGTCGTTTAACCCCGGGCACCGGGTGTGGGCCCGGGGCCGGGTCTCGGAGATTCAGCCCTGATCCCCCGCGTCTCCGCCCCTCCTCCTGCTCTCGGTGCTGCTCCAGCTCCCTGGCTGTGGGGCTTCTGTGCAGCCGGATCCCAGGAGGCTGAGTGACGGTGGTTCTGGGTTTAGTTGTGATTTTGATGTGACTGCGCGAGGGGGCGGGCACAGCTGTCGCCCACGCCGCCGACTTGTCTTCCTTCCTTGGCAGTTTAAATAGGACGTGCTAAGGTGTGTTTTTCTTTGTAGTGTATTTATCAGGCTCGGCTTAATTGTGCTTTTAAAGTCTGCATTGTTATGTCTTTTCATCTTTATTATCTATAAAACTAAGACTTTCCCAGGTGTTTTGATTTCTAATTACATATAGATCAGAGGTTATACGGAATTTAGTTGGTAATACCTTGTTATTGAGCATAAATTAATATGAGTGACTTAAAAGTTAAGAATGTAGTATATTTTACTCGTAACCAGAAGTGTCTGCATGGGATTTTGACCCCTTAGCATGATTTATTCGTATAGAAGTGAACCTGCAAGTGGACTTTGGGGGTCCATAACCCAAGCAAAGACTTTCCCCCATCATTCTAAATAAACCTAAAACAGGTACCCCAGGTCTATGTGTAGTTTTTGTTTCACATTTGATTTTTTCCTGCTTATGTTCAGTCTCCCAAAACAACCTGCACCAACACTCAGATATAGTATTTGAATTGTGAATTTCTGTCTTTTTGCATCAAATGTGTTTTGTTCAAACACTTTGCTCCATTTTTCAAGATGGCCCCAAAATGTTTTTTTTTTTTCAAAAGCCTTCCTTTGAGAGAAAAATTCCCATTGTGAAGTAATATTGGCTCAGGCTCCATATTACCTATTTTACTTTAATTTATTCTCTGTGGATGTAGACTCTGAGGTTCAGGGTTCTTCAGGGATCAGATGCCAATTGAATCAAACTTTCAATGAACATATGTACTTCATACTGTGCAATATGAGAGTCAGAAAAAGGCAAGGGATTATTTCATGTGTGTTAGCAGATTCCTGCATAATCAGGACAAAGATCATTCATCTTCATGGAACAAGGTAAGAATAAAGTAAGAATTCATGAAATTTCAAGCACACCACATTGGAGATACTTAATTCTTCTAGTCTGAGGCCAGAAGTCCACAGATTTTGAAGAATTTAAAAGAGGTAAATAAGGGATTTTAACAAAGAGATGTCTGAATTTTGGGTAAGACAAATTCATAAAATTATATACTTATTGTTACATGGCCATAATTAGTTTTTTAACCTCTCCAATTAAAATACCTTGCCTCACATATTCTTGTGCATGCTACGCACTAAACAGAAAATTTACATGATTTTTAAACCTAAATTCCAAATCTTTAGGTCTTATTGAGTGAACCAAATGCTCATTCAATCTCTCCATTTTATTTAGAATCTCATGATGTAGCATGAGCAGTATTCCACTGCTGGTGGTTTTTTGACATATACATTTTCAAAACTATTTGTGAATTCTATTTTATTACTTTTCCTGTAATTATATGAGCCCATTCATAAACAAATAAAAATGTTATCTGCAGTGGATCATCCTTCTGTTGAATGCTTAGAATTGTATAAGAAATATGATTAAGTAATATTCACTTATATGACAAAAGCAAGCACAATACACAGGGACCTTCCATAAATAATTTATTGGGGACCTAAAATATGTGACCACTTTTACCAACTACAGTTGTGCCATAACGACAATTCAATTTTATATTTAATGTTATTAGATATCACAGGACAAATATTATCCCTGTTTACACAAGTGATTCAGTGGGAGGTTCATATGTAGAGAAATGTAACTGACTCTGATAGTGCTTAGAAGCTTTAATGTGTGTGTATCACCTGGGGGTTTTGTGAAAATGCAGTTTGGATTAAGTTGGACTTGAATGAGGCTTCAGAGTCCGCATTTCTAATAAGCTCCTGGGTGATGCTGGTGCTGTTGATTCATGGACCACAGGCTGAATGCAGTGTTCAGATGGCTGTTCCACTGTGTCCTACACCTGGACTTTTTCTGAGTCAGTTGAAATGGTCTGCTCCTCCTTTTCTATTCCTATTTTATGAGAAATATTAATTTTATGAGCAATGTTAATCAGAACTTATCAACATTAGGACTATGTACTCATCATGATATCTTGAATTGTGTGCATGTGGAACATGAGAAAATAAAAAAACATTTCATTACCCTGAACTGGGGCAATGTACTTAATAAGATGACAGAACTCAGGTGTACAAATGTTTTACAGAAGAATTGCTCAGCTCCTTCACTTCGTTAGTTCTGCAATATTCTTGACAAGTTGCTGTCTGAGTGTGTCCCCTAAATTGATCTTTTTGGCTCCCAAAGCAACTATTCACTCTTGAATTTTCTAAATTTTGAAAAATTTCTTACCCATTTGAGCTTAAATTTAAGATGCTACAGTTGAAATCCCTCAGGACAGCATTTTTCTTCTGCAGCTACTCAGAAAAAAGTAAAACTGCCATTGCTCATAATAGCCCTTTGTCAGAACAGCTCTTTCAGTATATGAAGACAAGAAGGCATGTTCCCTTATTTCCAGCCTAAAACTCATGTTTCCAAATAAGAGGACAGCATCACCTGAGATTGCCACTATTTTTGTTTCTGTTTGTTATTAAACCTGGTCTCTCCATGTTTCTTTGCTGAGAATCAGACTGACATATATGTTGTTTTCATAACTGTAATATGATACTGTGCAGTTGAAGAAAAATAGGGTTGAAATTATAGTGATAATTTTCTTTCTCTGGCATTTGTTTATTAAATTATCTAGTCCCCTCCATGCAATCTGATAAGCACAGGGCATACAAATATTAATAAAGCAGAATTGCTTTACTCAGGTTGCTCTATGTTGGGAAATAATGTAATATGTTTGATAAATGCTGTTTAAAGGGATTTTGCTGGGCTATGGAATCATGCTGAGGGATAAACTAATAGCGACCTGAGGTTCTAGAAAAATTTAATTAAAGAGAGAAGAAAATGAGCAGGGAGTTGATTTTTGTGAGCACCTACTATGTGATAGGTATTCGGCATGCTTTATTTAGCCCACTCTTTCAAACAGCCCTGCGAGCCGAGTATTCTTCACTTGTTCTGAACTTACGCTGAGAAGACAAAGCCGGATGTGCAGGAAGATGCGGAGCCAGCGCTTGACTCTAGGTGCAGTTGGCTCCAGCTCGTTGTGATTCTTGTCTGCTTTGCTCTCCCACACGGTGGCATATGAGCTGAGATTTCTTCTTTCTCCATAGCACTTCTTGCTCTCTGTGATATGTTTACACCTTGTAGCGGGTTGTAGAGTGTCCCCCAAATACTCATGTCCACTCAGATCTTCAGAATATGACCTTATTTGGAAATAGACTCTTTGCAGTTCTCGTTAAGTTGAATTAAGGTCATATTGAACTAGGGTGAGCCCTAAATCCAATGACCGTGACCTTATATAAGGAGCAGAGGACATAGAGACACATAGAGAGAAAGGCCATGGGAAGACCAAATCAGAAAATGGTGTTGATCTGCCATGAGCCAAAGATCATCACGAGGCACCGGAACCTGGAGGAGACGAGGAAGGGTTCTCCCCTAGAGCTTTTGTAAGGGGTGCAGCCCTGCTGACACCTGGATTCCACACTGCTGGCCTCCAGTACTGTGGGAGATACATTTCTGCTGTTTTAAGCCACCAAGTTTGTGGTTACTTGCTGCGGCAGCCTTAGAGGACCAATGGACACATATTCATTACAGTCTTATAGCCTTGTATCCGCTTTGCAAATACTATGTCTTTTTCACAAATATAGCTGCAGTGTCTAGGCCTTTGCCAGGCATCCAGTGAGTAGTCAAAAAATGTCTGTTGAATAAAGAAATAAGTGAACAAATATATGAATTCAGATTTTTTTAAAAAAATATATCTTTACTGATTTCAGAGAGACATGAAAGGAGAGGGAGAGAGAGGGATAGAAACATCAATGATGAGAGAGTCATTGATTGAGCCCACAACCCGGGCAAGTGCCCTGACCAGGAATCGAACCCAAATCGCCTGGATCCTAGGTCGATGCTCAACTGCTGAGCCACGCCAGATTTTTAATACTTTATTTTCTTCTCTATTAAGGTCTGTTTCCTTCTAAGTATGTTGCATACAATGACATATAGCAGGTCAAGAGTTTTTATTAGCATGTTTTTAAGATGAAGAAGGAATCCATAATAGGTGTGAGGTAGGAGGACTTTCCCATTTCATTTATGGAGTTACCAGGCCAAGCTGAATGCATGGAGGATTTGTGCATGTTATTTATTTTTACAGCTTTCCTGAGACGTGGATTCAGAGCTAATCATTATTCCTCCACTCTACTGAAAGGAAATGGAAACTAATGTCATTGTCTAAAGTCATGACACTGAAGGGCTGGAAGGCAACATTAGATTATCCACACAGGTAAAAAAATAAGTATAATCCATAGACATTAAGTATAAATTGCCCAGGTTACACAGATAACTAGTAAAATAGCCATACCTAGAACCCAGGAGTTTGACTAATTCCATGAATGCTTGTTATATTTCTCATGATTTAAAAAAAAGTTATTTATAGCATGTAAGGATTTGATAAAAGTGCATAGCAAATGCAGAGGTGTTATATATACATCTCCAAAACTTTGTATGCATTTGAGCGGTTTGGTATAAGAAGAAAAGTAAAATTGGGCTATAAAACACTATCTGAAGAACAGAGATATATTAATGGCAGCTAATGGATCCAAAATCTATATGGCTTTGTTAATTGCTCATCTATCAAACAAAGGTTATTTTTTGGGTCTCATTACAGATTTCCACCCAACAATGGATGATAAGAACCAGACAGCAGTGACTGAGTTTCATTTTGTGGGCTTAACAGATCATTTTCCAGACAAGATGATTCTCTTCTTGATCTTTCTGTTTGTGTATCTTGTCACATTGGGGGCGAACTTGGGGATGGTTGCCCTGATCTGGACAGATTCCCGGCTCCACACCCCCATGTACTTTTTTCTCAGCCACTTGTCCCTTGTGGATGTTGGGTCCTCTTCTTCCATTGCTCCAAAGATGTTGTGGGACATCTTTCTGGAGAGAAAAGTCATCTCCGTCATGGGTTGTGCTGCTCAGATGTGGTTTATTGGTCAGTTTGCAGTGACTGAGTGTTTCCTCCTGGCTGCCATGGCGTACGATCGATACATAGCCATCTGCAACCCTTTGTTGTACACAGTCATCATGTCCCAGAGGGTGTGTGTGCAGCTGGTGGCAGGGCCTTATGCCATGGGCATCCTAAATGCCATTACTCAAGAGACCTTCACGTTTTGCTTACCCTTCTGTGGTCCAAATGTGGTGAACCACTTTTTCTGTGACATTCTCCCTGTTCTCTCCCTGGCCTGTGCCAACACCCAGAACAATAGGTTGGTTCTTTTCATCATGGCTGGAGCCATCGTATTGTTCAGTGGGCTGATCATCATGGTGTCCTATGTGTGCATCCTGGTGGCCATCCTGAAGATCCATACTGCTGATGGGAGGAGGAAGGCGTTCTCCACGTGTTCTTCTCACCTGGCAGCTGTCTCCATCCTCTATGGAACTCTTTTCTATATCTATGTTCTGCCTGGCTCAGGTTCCTCCTTAGATATCAATAAAGTGATTTCTCTGTTTTATACTGTGGTCATCCCCATGCTGAACCCCCTCATCTACAGTCTGAGAAACAAGGAGGTGAAAAATGCATTCAGGAGCAAGTTTGAAAGAAAAATGCAGTAATGTGATCCAGTAATGGGTGGGAAATTAGAGTTAGAAAATTCCTGAGTCTGCCTGTTACCAGGGCACTTGTAGACTGAAGTACTGTTTATGTTGCATTACATCAGTCTTGTCCTTTGTGAAATGATGGAAAATACAACAGAAAATGCAATTTATGCCAGAAGAAATCCAGCAGAAGTTTTATTTAGTCTGATATGTGGGAAGATATTTTATTGCAGACCAGAAAAGCAAAGATCAACAGAGTTCATTAAGAAAGCTTTGGTATGCCTGGCCGGGCGTGGCTCAGCGGGTGAAGCATCTTCCTAGGATCCAGGCGATCGGGGTTCGATTCCCGGTCAGGGCTCATGCCTGGGTTGTGGGCTGCAACCGATCAATGACTCTCATCAATGATGTTTCTATCTCTCTCTCTCTCCCTCGCCTTTCCTCTCTCTGAAATCAATAAAGATATATTAAAAAAAAGAAAAAAAGAAAAAGAAAGCTTTGGTAGACCTTGTTAAAAGTTGAACAATGGAAAGTGAGAGAATAATTACATAAGGACTCACAGTGAGTTAACCTCCCAACAGGAAAATGTTGGAATACATGTATGAAACACAGTAGGAAAATGAAACACAGCAGAGAAATAAAGCAAGAAATGAGTGGCTAATTCATAAAACTAGAAATCAAATGGCCACAAATTAAATATATATAATTATATCATAGATTAAATATGTTATATAGCCCGGCCGGGCGTGGCTCAGTGGTTAAGCGTCGACCTAGGATCCAGGCGATCAGGGTTCGATTCCCGGTCAGGGCACATGC